TAACATATGCAAAAAAAAATATATCTAAAAAACATATTTTTGGCAACTTGATTTATGTTTAATCTTTTAATTTAGTTTTCATATAATTAAAAAAAAAGAACCCCAGACGTTTTTGTCGGTTATAAAGTATTGCCAGACCTCTCCAAAGATGCTTTATTAAAATTCCCAAAAAATATACTTTTGGCAATCTGATATTTTAATCACGTATTTATTGAGTAATTTTCAATAATACTTACTTATCGCCAGACGAATTTACCGGTTATGAACCATTCCCAGACGTAAATAAAGTTTACAAATTAGTACTACAAAAAAGTCTTATGCGTTGCCATAGGTGCGAGAAAGATAGCTTATCGAGGTATGCCAGCAGCTGATGGGGACCCAAGGTCCTCGCGCTGTGATTGGTTATCGAGAAACCGCACGTTTCGAGTATGGTTCGGGCTCTGCGTTCACAACAGAGTATTTTAGAATAGTCTATTAGGGTTCCGTACCCAAAGGGTAAAACGGGACCCTATTACTAAGACTCCGCTGTCCGTCCGTCTGTCTATCCATCTGTAACCAGGCTGTATCTCATGAACCGTGATAGTTAAACAGTTAAAATTTTTACAGATGATGTATTTCTATTGCCACTATAACAACAAATACAAAACAATAGAATAAAATAAATATTTAAGGGGGCTCCCATACAACAAACGTGATTTTTTTGCTATTTTTATAGATAATGGTACGAAACCCTTTATGAGAGAGTTTCACAGTTTTAATAGTAAAAGATTCGCTTATTTTAAATATTACATTTTATATTATTTTAATGCAGTATTTTTTTTTTAAATGAAAGTATGTTTCCTTTAAGCAAAAGTTTATATCTTAAATATTTAAAGTATTTTTCTTTCATGACCCGTTCGTTTGTTCCATCCTGTATATCGAAGAATAGCGTCTGCGTGTAGCGTAAATATGTCATTCTACTTGTCAATAAAGAAGTAAAACTATTTTGTCGTATTACTAAAGTGTGATGTTTTAAAATAAAACTATATTTTCGAATTATCTACAACAAGATTAAGAAAAATTGTTATAACGTACTTTAGTGCCATTTCCCCTCTCATTGCCCTCTCATTCCCCTTGATCATTGCATAATTTTGTGAGTAGATACCACCTTTAACAACTTTATAATAACTATTGAGTCGCCTCAATACTTAGTCTCTAACGTGACCATGATTAATAATATAGAAAAAAAAAACATAATAAATTATTATTATATTTGAAAATATTTAAAAAATATTATTTAGTGTAATATTTAAATATCTCGTATTTTGACCATTTTGAAATTAAGCATTTGTAAAAGAAGTAAGAAAGCTACATGTGATAAACAGATTTCAGGCTAGCAAACATAACAATAAATACTGTTAACATTAAAACAGCGGAAATCACACCACAACATTTATTAAGACCATAATGCTGTGTAGAGTCGAGCTGAGTGCTAAAAGTTGTAAATCGTGTGAGCTTAGTCTCTATTTCTCTACACAAAATGGTGTGTAATTTATTTTGCTTAGGATGGAACATTTATAATTGTTAAAATAATATTTACAGATGCTCTAAAAGTCTTCTCAAAAAGCTAAATAACGATAATAATTAAGGAATCTTGTCACTTTTAAAAAATCTTTTTTTCTAACTATTGTATTATAGTAGTTCCTTGCTACTGCAAACATGTCTTTATTGATGTTTTTCATAGTATCTTCAAGAAATTCTCTAAAAAATGTTATTTTTACTGGTTATAAAATAAATAATTGTAAGAGAAAATGCCGTCGTCGCGCTGGATTTGAACTTAGGTGAGCAATTAAGTATGCCCAAATATCTTCTAAGTGACGTGCGGCTTATCGCTTCTGAATATGGGTCCAGCGTTTTTTTATAAAAATTCCTTCGTCGATTTAGTTTACATGATGATGATGTTCTCCTAGCCGATTCCGGCCACGGCGGCCAATCTCATTGAGACTAGCCAACTGCGCAGGAGATATTATAGTGCACAAGTGTACGCGCAGACACAAGTGCACTCTCTATTCCTATCACTCTCATACTCCGGTGGGACGACCACTCGACACGACCGGTGAGAGTTAAGGCGCAGGACCGACGGCTTTACGTGCTCTCCGAGGCACGGGGCATAACTAAACTTGGCCCGACCCGGGACTCGAACCCAGGACCTCCGGATATGCAGCCGTATATGCTAGCCACTACACCACCGAGGCAGTTAAATTAGTTTACATAATGCGTAGAAGAAACTAAGGATTTTTTAGAAGTTTTATAGTGACCATGAATAGTGCGTCAATCTGATATAGCATGTGACGTTTCACATCAGCTAACACGATTACGCTACTTCGAGTATTTTTAAAGGCCATCATTTTTCCTCACCACACGTGGTACTGGCAGAATGTATTGCGTCTGTTAAAGCAACTTTAAGCCATTAAAGAAAACAAAAATGGCCATAATTCTAACTATAAGTTATGTAATATGTATATCTATACTAATATTATAAAGAGGTAAAGTTTGTGAGTTTGTGAAGTTGTAGGGGGTATCTCTGTATCTACTGAACCGATTTATCTGAAATTTGGTAAGAACATAGTTTGAGACCCTGAGAAGGATATTGGATACTTTTTATACCGGATGTTCGCGCCACTCGGGCGCGACGATTGGTTCCCTGATTTGCTCTCTCACTCTTACTCATGGATTCGGCGCGAGCGTCGCATTCGCGCCACTCGGAAAAAGTCGCGTCGTCCTCGGTTCGAGAAGGGTCGTTAAATTGAAAATATATGTAAAAGTAAAACCCTTCAGCTCATCTGCTCGTGTGTGAATTATTATAAGTATATTGCCGGCCGGCTTCTATTAAAGTAAACTATACAGACAATTGAACAGTGATAGTGAATATAGCGTATAATATAAAACTTTGTTGCACGTGTACCTATACGTGCAAAGGTATATTCAGCCCAGGAGCGTGCCATTCACCCAGCGCCATCCATCTATCATCCGCCCATCTACATTCCAAGTAAGTGCACATCCTTACATCTCTCTCCCTTACAACTCCAACCCCCGCTTCAGCTCATCGTCAATGTGAGGTGTCCCAACTCTGACAATTTTTGGGCTAGCCCTTACATATACTTTTTGGTCCTTCGAGCCGGACGTCGAGGCCACATATACTAAGAATTATGAAAAGGCGATTTCAGAATACAATGATATCCTAGTTGCGTTTGAGAAATTAAGTGTGGCCTGAGCTCTTCCGGAGACTGCTCATCCGTCCACGTCAGCCACACCTGCTAACGTTCTGCCCAAAATTGCTCTGCCGAAGTTCAGCTCTAAAATTGAAGACTGGCCTTCCTTCATAGCCATCTTTAGGAGTCTTACTGATGACATGACAACCATTTCGGATTCTGTGAAGCTTCATTATCTGCTCTCGTGCCTCTCAGGCGAGGCACGCAGTATGGTATATCATCTTCAGCTCACCAACGAGAACTTCGCCGTGGCCATGGATATTCTAACCAGGCGATATGAAAACCGTCGCGTCCTGATCGACCGGTTTGTGGACATCATACTAGGGCTACCACACATCCATACGCGCTCTGATATCCGCACACTCTTCTTGACTCCGCTCATTTCTGCGCAATGCGCCCTGAATAACCTCGATTTGCCCATGAAAGATAGTGACTACGTTTTCGTATCTATAGTAGTACGAAAGCTTAAGGGTGAGCTTCGGACCCTCTTTGAGCGTAAATATGGATCACGTCAGACTCTGCCAACTCTCAATAATTTAATTACCTTCTTGGAAGAGCACGCGCGTTGTGTGGAGACCGAGCGATCCAGCCCACTCTCTTCACAAGTTAGTCGGCACTCCCCACAGAATAACCAATACCGCAGGAGGACCCCCCCTGCTTTTATTATCATTTAATGGGGAAAAATGAGGATGAAAATTTATATTGGGAAGCAAGCCAGGGACGAACCCGTACGAAGCGAGGGTGAGTCGCTAGTTTTAATAAAACTTTTCTAATCTTTCAAAATAAGATTAAGTATGAACTACGAGTACCTCGTACTGTATTTGGTCGCAATTAGTAAAACAGTAATTCAGATCAATATTTTTTTATCTGTAAAGGTAGCAATGGCTTAATATTTTAACTTTAAATTAATAATAGCAATCTAAATTAATATTTTAACTTCTTAAAATATATAGTATTCAACAATAATAATATTGCTTAAATTTTAATTTTAATTTTCTTTGTGGTTATAATAATATCAACAATAAATAATATTATTAATTAATAAAGCTTTTTAAAAAATGTCATATTTATAATAATAACAGCTAAATCAAATAAATAATATTGCTATATTTAACAATTATACTTATTAAAATTTTAAAAATATAGAATTAAAATTACCAAATATTGTATGGTACTTTGGTACCATTTATGAATTTTTAAAATCATTTTTGTAAAATTGTGAATAGGTCCTATCTGTAACAAGTACACAACGCCTTTGAGACGTCTAAAACCTTGTCTCTTCCATGATTGCTGTAAAGCATTCGAATCGTTGCGAGCCACAAATTAAAAATAAATCCGCGAAATAACCCGAAAAAATAGCTTTATATTCGCGTAAATCTAAGAAAGTATTATACAATTTTTGTACCTATTTTTATATTTCGATACTTATTTATTTATAACATTAAAGTAAATATCTATCGAAATTTGCTACTTTACTTATTAAATAACTATAATCAAAATAATATGAATAGAAGTTAAACATAATTGAAAGAAGAAGACGTTTTTTTATGTAATTATGGCATACGGAGAAATATTGTCACTGGCACGCTGCAAACAAGATGGTTGTTATATCAATAAATCCTAGGAAACGATACAACACAAGCGCTTATCAGCAGTCTGTGTAATGTCATTGCTTGCTTTAGTAACAAATTAGACATTTTATGCTTTAAATAATTAGTAAAGCATATTTTGATCATAACATTTTATAAAATGAATTCAGATACTAAAAAAGTGGCAGCTAGCCTGTACGGTAGAGTAAATGCTCCAGTGGAAAAATTTAGAGTTAATTTCTGTACGGATATGGAAAAATCAGTTTTGATGGGTAATTTCGAAAGACGAGGCTGGCATCAAGTAGGACCGGATGACGAATGGAATTTTTATTGGGCATCAACCCAAACTTGCCGGAATTTATTCAGCGTGGAAAGTGGCTACCGAATGAATGATAATCAAATGATTAGTCACTTTCCTAATCATTACGAGCTATCCAGAAAAGACCTTCTTGTGAAAAATATAAAGCGCTACAGAAAAGAATTAGAAAGAGAAGGTAGCCCCTTGGCCGAAAAAGCTGAAGTAGTTTTACAAGGAGGCCAAATCGTTACACGCTACGTTCATCTCGATTTTATCCCTGTGACATTTGTTCTCCCAGCGGACTACAACATGTTCGTCGAGGAATATCGTAAATCACCGCAGAGTACATGGATTATGAAACCATGCGGGAAATCTCAAGGTACGGGGATCTTTCTTATAAATAAACTATCAAAGTTGAAAAAATGGTCGAGGGAAGCAAAGGCTCCGTTTCACCCACAGCTTAGTAAAGAGAGCTATGTTATTTCTCGTTACATAGACAACCCTTTGCTTATAGGTGGCAAAAAATTTGATTTAAGATTATACGTTTTAGTTACATCTTTCAGACCTTTAAAAGCTTATCTGTTTCAACTTGGGTTTTGTAGATTTTGTACTGTAAAATATGACACAAGTGTAACAGAATTGGATAACATGTACGTTCATCTGACAAATGTTAGTGTACAAAAACACGGTGGTGATTATAATAGCATACATGGTGGAAAAATGAGCGTTCAAAATTTACGATTATTCTTAGAAGGCACGAGAGGTCGGGCTGTTACGGAAAAATTATTTGCTTCCATACAATGGCTTATTGTACATTCCTTAAAAGCTGTATCATCCGTTATGGCTAACGATAGACATTGTTTCGAATGTTATGGATACGACATAATAATAGATAATCAATTAAAACCCTGGCTAGTGGAAGTTAATGCCTCACCCTCACTTACCTCGACAACGGTTAATGATAGGATAATGAAATATAAATTAATTGATAACATAATATCAGTGGTTATACCACCAGAAGGTATGCCAGACGTGCGTTGGAACAAAGTGCCGAATCATGAAACGCTTGGGAATTTTGATTTACTAATCGATGAGGAATTAATGGAAAAAGAAGATTCTGCGAGTGTTACTGGGAGATCCAATAAGAGTCATAAAAAACAATAATATTATATTCTATAAACAGACACATATACATATTATTTTAATATAAACAATTCATTTAATCATTTGACTTATTATTTTAAAAATAAGGGGATGTTTGTATGATGATGATGTTTATATTATCATAATATATATGGACTTTTATTTATTAATAACAAGAAATATATTTTTCTGTTTTAAACTGCATAGTACAAAATAGGTTTAAAATGAATTTGAAACTCTGCATTAAAATTTTAAAAAAGTCTCCTACGCAAATTAATTGTCATATAATGATTACACTGGCACGCGTGAAGCACTTAATCGAGTAATCATACGCCAAAATTTCTTACATCATTTTTGAAAAGAGCTGATACTCTTACACTGTTGGACCAATATTAACCAAATATAGCTAAGAACCACCGAAAGGAAACTAGCTTTCAAATGAAAAAACCGCATCGAAATCGGTCCATCCCTTTGAGAGCTACGATGCCACAGACAGACACACACGCAGAGAAACAGACATTGACGTCAAACTTATAACACCCCTCTTTTTGCGTCGGGGGTTAATAAAAGAAATTGTTTACCTTATAAAAAGTTATATTCTAGGTGAAAACTCATTTACAGAATTGAAAATGCAATATGATAATACTCATAAATAGAACAGATAGTTATTAAATAAAACTATCTTTTCGGATTTATTTTGATTTTTGGTTCCCGACGTTTCGAATGCTTTACAGCATCCATGGTCACGGGAGAGACTGAGGTGTTACATGTCTTGGAGGTATAGTTGTTACAGACAGCCTACCCACAATTAACAAAATGAAAATTGCACCAATTACATTACAATATTTTTTAACTTAAAACATTTTTATAATTTTTATTATAATTGAATATGGAAAATTATTTATTTAATTTTTGCTATTATTTTTATAATTATTACAATTTTAAAAATATTAATTAGTAATCTATAATTAGTGTTGCCATTATTATATTTATAACCATAAAGAAAAATATAAAATATAGTATTAATTATTTAAGCCATATAATTGTTCAATGTGTAATTTGAAAAGTTAAAATTAATTAAGGATTATAATTTTAATTTAGTTTGCTATTATTTAAAAAACAACTTACTAAGCAACACTATTAATATATACTTTTACAAATGAAAAATGAAAAATATTAATCTGATAAGCTGTCATTTTGATCTACACAGTATGAACTATACTATATCTGCCTGTCTGTTATGTTTATATTTATTATTTGATTTTATTTATAAAAGTATTATGAGAACAGATAGTTATCAATATCTTTTTAATATTTTAGCATTTACAGATTTTATTCGGGCTTAGATACAAAGTTTTCTCATTAATATCCCATGTTTTAATTACAAAGAACTAATTTCAGAAGACTACTGCAGCCCCTTTTATCAAATGAGAAACGCTCTCATGATTTTCGTTAGAATTAAATCCATAAATTCAAAAGTTAGACCATAAGCAGGTTTGTTTGATTGTATCAACCAATTCTACTGCTTGATTAGGAGAATGTAGGAAAGTTTTGTGAGTTCAATTTAAATTTGATCGGAGATTAACGATAAATCCGAGGAACAATTTTAATGAAGTAGCGAGCTTAGCGGATCACTACGATGTATTGAGAAAGCTTTGCTACAAGTATTTTCAACTCGTATTTTTAAGAATCTCATTTAGATTTAACTATTTAAAAGCAAATTCTCTAGATTTTATATATTATTATTAAAATACTCGTAAGCTCTTTGCTTAAGCAGATATTTATTATATTGTATAATATTTGTATAGTTAATTATATTATATATTTATTAATATTAATACTTTATTTTATTATATTTAATAGTTAAGAGGAATAAAGGAAGAGTTTTTAGGAAATGTCTCCAAAAGAAGTAATAAAAGTTGGAACAGTAGTTTGGCCACTTCAAAAACTGTGTGTGTGTGTGTGTGTGTATTTCTACAATTTATTGTATTTATGCTATGACATATTCACTCATCGTGTAATCATTTTTTATAATAAAATCCAGCCATATCATACTGGGAATAAACGGCTTAGAAATTGGTGTATGTTTTAGAGAAATCTATATATATAAAAGAAAGTCGTGTTAGTTACACTATTTATAACTCAACAACGGCTGAACCGATTTGGCTGAAAATTGGTGGCTTAGACCCAGGAGACGGACATGGGATACTTTTTATCCCGTTCGATTGCGTTCCCGTGTGACGTGACATAAAACTCAAGAACGGCTGGACCAATTTTTATGATATTTGAATTTTTGGATTTCTCTTAGTCCGGAATAGGATAATAAGTATTAAAACATCAGAAAAATTAACGAAAATTATATGGCTAGCGCTGGCTAATAACTATTTATCTCTACTTAAAACGTACCTAGCGACGAACCCGAGCGAAGCGAGGGTGAGCCGCTAGTTATTAATATCAATGACTTAGAAATCACTATTTCATTCTATTTTCATTAAAAACAATTGCATTATTAAATAAAACTATCTTTTCGGATTTTGTCGCGGATTTATTTGCATTATTGTTTCCCGACGTTTCGAATGCTTTACAGCATCCATGGTCACGGGAGAGACTGAGGTGTTACATGTCTTGAATGTATAGTTGTTACAGACAGCCTACCCACAATTAACAAAATGAAAATTGCACCAATTACATTACAATATTATAATACAATTGCATTACTCAAATAACAATCCATATTCTCATACCATCTAATAGTATGTTAGAATAATTGAAATGTGGTAAACCATTCTCGTTCTTGTTTGTACTAAGATTGTTTTCATTCCATGTGCATTTCAAGTTTAACCTCTACATTTATAAAAGCCTTCTAACCACACGAACGTCGAGTTCCAGAGTATGCCGTAGTTTGCTTTCTACTCAGTATAATGAAATGCATTAAGGCACGTGTTTAAACTAGGATAATATCAGAAAGAGTGTTTGAGGAAAATGTGCGCTTAATCTTCAGATTGCTGAGAATATGTTTGCTAAGCGTCTGTCTCAATTTTGTGTATAGCTTGAATAAGTAGTATAATATAATATATTCATACTAATATTTTAAATGTTAAAACAAAGGAACTCTCTCTCTCTCTCTCTCTCTCTCTCTCTCTCTCTCTCTCTCTCTCTCTCTCTGTGTGTGTTTATAACCTTTTTATTATAAATTACTAAACAGATATCGATGAAATTCGACATTACGTAAGTATATACATTGCACTATGAGAACGGATATACGCTACAGATAAAAGGTACCTACTCAATCAATATATTTTAATATTTATACTAACCACCAATATATTTAAGAGAATCGATCCTATGACCTGTCACATAGCAACACGATCTGATAACTTTTAGATTCAAATAGTTATTCTTGCTCGAAGAAGAATTCAATATAATAGTTAAATAAAAACATTTCGATCCAACGACAGCCTTTTGCCTTCATCATGAAGTTCCAACGTAGTTTCAGAACAACAACAAAGGAATAGTAAAAATATTACTTATTTAAAAAAATATAAAAGAAATAATACACGGTTTCCTCAGTTTATAAATATTATTGAATATTAAATATATATTGAAAACTACGTGTCAATAATGTCGTTTCATTTTTTAATAAATTTTGGAGTAGTGTTCAGATATTTTAGATATTTAGTAGTTTTTAGATATTTACACTGTAAACTTTAGTTTAAGTTTAAATATTATATATTTGAATTTCTATATAGACACTTAGTTATCAAACAAATACCAATAAATACATCGTAAAAGTAACACGGCAATAATAAAATACATATCAGTTTTCTAATCACGTAACTACGAAACGCGCTTATTCGCTTAGTCGATTACAAAAGGAGATTTCCTACAGTCGACCACGATGCGAAAATTTATCATATTGCTCGCGCCTGCTGTAATAAAGCTTGACAATAAAATGATTCCATTTTTGATTTCAATTACATTTTATCGCCTTTATTTATTAGAAGAGATTTTTAGAACATTTTTAATTCTTCATTGCGAGTGTATAATACTAGCAAGATAAACTCGGGTGAGTTATACTCAACAGTAAGAATATAGCGTGTATTACTTCCAGATCATATCTAAATATTTTTTATCCAAATCAGTATAGTCGTTTTAGAGTAAAACCGACATACACATACAAACAGGGAACTCTTGGTTTCTGAAAGTAGTCCGATTGTAGTTAATAAAACATATTTTTTTGTACTGTTGGATAAAAATATTATAAAATTTCTATGTAACTTATAATAAAGCAGTTACCCGCGCCTTCGCCCACGTTCAAACTTATGAAAAAAACATCAGTTTTACAATTTCCATAGGTACATACCTATGGAAGTCTGCCCGATTTGTTGACATTTATTATTATCGCTCCGCTCCCTTGGGTGGTAGCTTGATCTAATATTATATACACATAACATACATATAATCTTCCTCAATAAACGGGCTATCTAATGTATAAAGAATTTATTAAATCGGATTAGTAGTTCCTGAGGTTAGCTCGTTCAAACAAACAAACAAACAAACAAAAAACTCTGTCACTTTTAATATTAGTATAAATGATTTAATATCTATTGTTACTGTGTATGATGATAAAATCTTTTCTATTTTTCTAAAATGATGAAATATTTTAGCAAAATTCAAATATAACCAAAATTCTATTACTGATTTATTAAAACAAAGTAGATTCAACGACGACAGCGACGCAGGTGCATTTTCTACACTACTGCTACGAAATTACAAGATATTTTTTACTGGCAACGGTTTTAGAAATTTTCAGCCATTTATAAAGATTGGCTTATGTTTCATATTTCAGAGGATAATTCGAAATAAAATGGTTGTTCGAATGTATCTACAATAAACGATTTTTTTAATTTTTGTTCTCTTCATTCTTTTGCCACGTTTTATGCTTTATATTTTAATAGAAAGATATTACTTGTTTTTAAATTCTTATAGTACTTTGCATTATATTATAAGTTTTTTGT